AATTTCTTTCTCACAAAAAAAATGCACGAGAATCGGATTCTAGAAAACTACCCAAAAAATTATGAACAAGAAGACTATATGAACATTTTTTTATACAAAAAAGCGAACAAGGATTTACACAAAAAATATCACTCAAATTATAAATAAAAACTTACCATCCGGTAGGTTCACTCCACTTCAGTGATGACTGATCCGACTATTTTCACACTTTTTTTCTTTTTGTCGAAATGAAAAAACACACGGAGCTCGGTATGAAAAACGGTGGAGACTTGTCACTGGAGACTATCCTAAAGAATATGAAGTTGTGAGAGAGTGTTCCAAAGATCTTGTAGGTTACATATCTGGAATTGTTTGTTCTCTTTCTCATTATTTTTCTTTTTTCGCCATGATCTTTCGTTTCTTCGGCTGTATGTACTTTTCATCATCCGTGTATTTATCAACATATGCACATATGCGTTTCTGACGCAATCTAGGCTTTCGTTTTTCCCTGTAATTCTCACTTGGTGATCGATCTGCAAGATATTTATCGAACAGTTCGTCGTCTTAATCTCTCCAAATTTTATCCATTTTTATAGTCAAAAATATTTTTCACGAATGATCCACAAAAAAATCGACGTTCCGCGCATTGAAAAAATAACATTCACAATGGTAGGAGATAGCATGGTAGAGAAGGAGGTACGATATCAATTCCACGGTAGTGGGGGAAATGTGACTCCGACGCCGCAGCACTCCCTACGGTGAGGGTAATGTGTGGTTAGCATAGGACGGTTATGTGAATGGTGGGGGTCTGAACGTACCCCACTCTTATGCTTGGCGCTATAAGACGCAGCTACTCATAGTGCATTTCATTCTGTCGATTCGATATCGTTCATCCATTTTTTTATCATGGAAAATATCAACGAAAAAGTGTGCAGTGGTGTTGAACAGCAGGTGGTGCTGTGGCTAGTTATACCTCTCAATAAGTCGGAGATGAAGCAAATTCGTGTCGATCTACAAGTTACCTGTCGGTCAATTTATTCCTGCGGTGTAATTTATGGCCGTACGCCCCAACCGCGTCGTGCTGTCAATGTCACGAGAGGAATGGAGCCTCCTCTATAAAGATCTGGATACCATTACGGATTACTTTCACCCTGATAAGTTTCACCCGAAAGCCATCCACAATGTACCTGCTAAGCAATTTGGCGATGTCAAAGTGAAATTTCATCGCAGCTATGATAACCCCTGCGTTGCTTTTGTACGTGCTGGTGTAAGACAACCCCTCATTATAATGAGTCCCAGCATTACCACATTAAAAAATAAAGCCATATGGATCGATCAGTGGTTAAACTTTTTGGACTCATCGCCACTCAAAGAATACAAGGAGTCTCTGGTCCGGGCGATCACAAGTGTTTCCATGAATTATATGGAATACAATAGGCTGCCAACCACTGAAGAACTCCACTATCGCATACGCAACAATTTTGAGATTTACCTTCTGGCCAAGGACGAACTGCACCGTACAATACCTCAACAGAATCTGGGATATTTGTATCAATTATTTGGTGAAATGTTCTATTTCTGCTACGACTTGGATGCTTTTGCGGGAGGGGCTTACCGAATGTCCTCATACTAAAGAGTATATAATAATAATAATCTCTTGTAACTGAATTATGTTTCCAACCGCCTGTATTAACAGTAAAACACCTCCTACTTCTCCAGGCCATTATGCGGTTCTCAGCACTTTTAAACTCCAAAATAAATAACACCAATAATTCTTTCTCTCTGCCTTTGCCAACGTTACGAGTGGTAAATCTCACTTCTCCTCAGGGCAACATGTTTATTTTCATCTATACAAAAATAGAAACAAAAATAATAAAAAACTAAAATCCAACAATTTCCAGTCAATTCTATTGCAACAACTATTACCTAAATAATAAATCATGAGCACCAATTAATTCAAGGATCTCAAAGAAACTTACGTATTTAAATTCTCCTACTTATCTACAAAAAATCCATCAATTTCTCCGAACCTCATCATAATATACAGTCAAGTAAAACAAAATCAAGGCCATAACTATCATCTTAACATGTAAAATTCCAGTAATATAATAAATACAAAAATATTTTCGTCAATTAACCAGATAGCGACAGCACAACACAATAATCACAATAGTCACTATATTAATAATCATAATGGTCATATCATTGTGACATTGTCTGGTATTTCTAAAATGTGTTGAGACAAAAAGTGACAATTGACGTAAATTATTTAATCTCTCGAATATTCAAAATATATTTATTCCGGTTACTGCAGTAAAAAATGATGAAGAAAATAATTCGTAAACTGTACTTTCCTGAGAACTCTTCACCATGCAGACGCACGCAGTGCAATGTACACCGTTACCTATTTGTTGTCCGGTGTGCTTGTGCTTGATCTAATTTATTCACTCTATATCTTTGGAGGAGAGGATATTATTCAGTAAAGAGAAAGATTATCGAATTACTGAACAGTCTGTATTCTAAAAAAATGGAACCCAACTAATTTTATAAACAGAAAAACAAATGATTTTGCTACTGGCGGGTCGTCACCCAAAATAATAATAATAGAAATGAAATAAGGCTGTCATTCAATAAGAAAAATGAAAGAAAGAAGAATAATAAAAAAAAAAAAATAATAATAATAATAATAATAATAATACAAAATACCGGAAACTCCGGTCCACACTACTCGATACAATCCAAAAGAATTAGGAAGCAAAGATATCTGTTAAATTGCTATGCGGGAAAACACTGAAGAGACTCAGTTGTTCATTTATTAATTTCTCAATGGTAAATGGACAGTGAGCAGGTCCATAGATACCGCCTGGGCTGCCACAACCCCTCTTACTCGCGATACTAGCCGTGATATGTCGTCTCTCTCCGTTGCGCCTCCAGAGAACAACGATACAAAGGAAACGAAAATAAAATAATAATTCCCATTAATAATACCGCAATATTATCTGTAGCTTAGATGCTAGTAACGCTCACAATAAATTATTATATTTTGCTCCGGCAAGCACCGACTCGAGGGCCATGCAGTTTTACCAAGATGGAGTCGATAGTCTCCGTTCACAATGAGATTCCCCCTGCCAGAGAAGCTGACAGGAGCTTCAATGAGGGCCAAAATGCTCTCGTACTTGCTAATGACCCCGTCGCACAAATGACAATATTTTATATGTGCACGCTCACTATAATCACTCGTCCTGACCCAATATTATGCCTCGACTCCGTCCCTCGCCACGTGTTTGCCCGATGAATAGAATATTCGCCTGGAAATTCGCCTGAATATTTGCCGCCTTTATTTCGCCTCGAAATTGCCCTCAGTCGCCTCAAAAACCTCCGGATAAGGTCCGGAGAACCTTGTTCCCACGTCCTTTGTCGAGTTTACATGAAAAGCTTCTTAATTGGACCCACACAATACACTGAGAAAAAAATTTATTCCTTCCAAGAAAATGTTATTGCTGATATCTTTTTCATACTCTTAGTAGAAGAAAATATCTCTTTTGGAACGTATTTCTCCAGGCCAGTCATTTCCAGGTGCTCCGAAATCAGTTCCAAGCGTGAGAATTATGGTGATCTATAAGAATATTCTTCTGCATATGACCTCGAAGAAACTCCAATAATAATTATTAACATTTGGAATTATTCCAATTTTCTTTACCTGAGAAAATCGCCAATTTGTAAAATCCGGAAGATATCGGAGAACATTTTGTCAAGGTCATATGTAGCATAATAATCAGATTGTTCAATATCACTGTAATTTTTGAGGATAGACTTAGACTCTCTGAAAATGACTGTCCTGGAAAAATTCGTTCTGAAAAAATATTATCTTCTTCTGTAGATACGAAAAATTGGGAAACTTAAAGCGATGCAAAGCGATTCACAGTAGAGATGGAAGTGAAGATGAAGGCGGAAATCGTCATTGCCCTCTCAATCTCATACTGTCTCACTCCATTTCTCTCGGGCCTTGACATTGGCCCTGAACTTAAATATTAGCCAATCCCGGCCTCATTTGCATATCTCGCCAGCCCCGTGCTGTCCGGTGGTGCCGTCTATTCTCTCAGGTGCGTATCCCCGGTGGTCAAGTTATCTGTGACGTCTTTTCGGTGTAGAGGATTGTCTTGTAGATGGGCCTTAGCGATTACCCATACTATTGGCGGTTTGCATGCGTGTGTTTGTGTGAGCTCCGGAACGTGCTGCGCCCTTGTGGGATATTATTTTGGGTCCGCAGGAGATCTGAATTCTTCCGGTAATGCCAAGTGGTCGTCTTCTGGTCGTCGTGATCTATTTTCTGTCAGGCTGATGATGGTTCCCTCCGGTCCCGGATGACTTCTCGGTGATGGTGAAGTGAGTCAGAACTCCTCGTTGTCATTCGGAAATCATTCGGTAATCTCATTCATAACCTCTACTCTAGCGACCGGTATATATGAGCATCGATAATCATTAATTGTTGTTGTTTACCCCCACACGTCCCATCGAGGATACAAACGAACCCACTTCGTCACATCATCCAAAAGGTTAATTTCTATACCTCAGCTTTTCCGCCTTACCCACGCCTACTATTACACCCAGCTAATGGTGTCTTGCAAGGGTTGGTGTATGACCCATTAATTAGATTCAACAAGGATTAGGTATGACTAATTTAAATTGGAAGACTCCATTGGCTGGGTGCAATAGTAGGCGTGGTTAAGGCGGAAACGCTAAGGTATAGAAATTAGCCTTTTGGATGATATGACCATTATGATTATTGATATATTGACTATTGTGATTATTGTGTTGTGCTTTCTGGTTAACTGATGAAAGATTTTTTGTTTTTTAAATACATATAATGACTTAGAAGTGATATTTTTTGTTTTTTTTTGTTTTCCAATGAGTGGATGAGGGAAATGTATAAAATGGTTTCCTTCTTTGACAAAGTAGGTTAAGATTGTTACAGAAAATGGCACGAGAATATTTTTTTATTTATTACTGGAATTTTACAGGTTAAGATGACAGTTACGGCCTTGATTTTATTTTGCTTGACTGTATATTATGATGAGGTTCGGAGAAATTGATGGACTTTTCGTACATAAGTAGGAGAATTTAAATGCGTAAGTTTCTTTGAGGTTCTTCAATTAATTGGTGCTCATGACTTATTATTTAGGTAATAGTTGTTGCAATAGAATTGACTGGAAATTGTTGGATTTCATTTTTTTATTATTTTTGTTTCTATTTTTGTATAGATGAAAATAAACATGTTGCCCTGAGGAGTGAGATTTACCACTCGAAACGTTGGCAAAGATGGAGAGAAAGAATTGTTGGTGTTATTTATTTTGGAATTTAAAAGTGCTGAGAACCGCATAATGGTCTGGAGAAGTAGGAGGTGTTTTAATGTTAATAATCTCTTGTGATTGTAAATTATTTTAAATTGGAATGAAAAACATATCATTTGTAAGCCTAAAAATGTGTTTCATCATTTTACATGAATTAAAGAAAAAGTAATTTGTAAACTGTGTGTTATACATTTATGAAAAACCGCGACATTTTTTCTGCTACCTAGAAGTTTCCAGAAAAATATATACATCTCCATGTCAGCTCGAAAAATATGATGGGTTTGGAATTTTTTCCTGCACTATACAATAATCAGATAAAATTCACCATCCTCAAAATAAGAGAGAGAGAGAGAGAACGTATTGTCCACATTTTGCGTCATTCAAGGTTACAATCCTTTGTTATCCGTTTCAAAACAAAAAAAAATTTCGAAAGCGCAATGTCTCTCCGACGCCTCAAAGACGGTGCCTCCAACAGCCTGGAGAGCACCATCGGGAGCCTCGCCAACACCTGCCTGTCAGATTCCACCTGCAATCCATTTTCCACCCGCCACCCACTTTCCACCCACCAGCCACTTTCCACACACCACACCTTTTCTACCTGCCACCCATTTTCCATCTGCCGGCCATTTTTCGCCCACCACCCACTTCCTGTGACCCTCGGACCCCAACTTTCAGGCCCTGCACCCCAGAGGGCTCCCCAGCGCGCCGACGTTCTCTTCAAAAGGCATGTCGCCGAGGGGGGCAGGGGGGGACGTGCACGTGCACTTCCTAGAAAAAAAAGGGGGGGGGGAGGGAGCGTGTGAAATTTGCCAATCTCGACCACTTACTACTGGCTACGGAGAAAGTCATTCTCTGGGCCCACACGCTACAGTCTTTCCAGCGGAGGTGATGCGCATTACCAGATGTGCGCAGCACCTCCTGGCCAAGAAAATGAGGATGAAAATTTAGCCAGGTAGCTATCAAAGCACTGGAGAAAGCCACTACCGGATCCAACGTGGTGTGGGAGTGCATGCAGACACTAGCCGCATTAGGAGAGAATAATAAAATCACCCTAACCCGGGTTCCGGGCCATCATGGAATACAAGGTAACGATGAGGCGGACAAATTGGCCAAGGAGGGAACTGAAAAGGACCCACCAGAGAGGCTAGTTGGGATGCCATTCGCAGTGGGTAAAAAGCTCATGAAAGATCACCTACAGCGGAAACTTGAAACTGTTAGCTATTCGTAGATATAAAAACTGGGGTCAGGCATTTCTGGAAGCAGCTGATTTAAACGAAGTGTCAGTCAACAGCCTCATTAGCCCAGTGAAAGGCACATGGCTGGGGCTAATAGACTGACGGGGGAAAGAAGGCGGAAGTTACGAAAGTTCGTAAGATTTAGGTGACTCTGGGCGTATTAATCGATCAGCCGCGTATATATCTATATCTACATATGTATCCCCACAGGTCATATCTGCAGCCTCGACAAATGGCAAGAACTGCAATTTTTGGCGCGTGACATAACATAAAAAGTGGAAACTATTTGCTATAACTGGATGAAACTTTCATTGAATCAAAATTATCGTACACAATTTCAAAGACTAGTAAATGCTCTTCAAAATAATATACAGATATCCCCGCCTAGTCCACTTAGGTCCATTGAAAAATCCAACCAAAATAAATATTTTTAAGTGAAACATGAAAATTTAATTTCAGTCTGAAACTCTCATAAGTTAATGAAGAATTGATAAAAAATTAGACAAATCAGGTATTATTTTGAAGCTTATTTAATAAGCGTTCCAATAAGTTACATATTTGGTTCGTGCAGGAGGAAGAAGAAATTGAGTATAGAAGCCAAAGAAAGAAGCCTGGTAACGCTCACGGACATTTCTATATTGGACATTGGATGAACAGAAAAATAGGAATTGGTTGGGAAGTTATTGGTTCGACCCTTAATGGGTCACACCCACTCCAGTCCACATGCAATGGGAGCCAGCGAAGCGAGCGAGCAACTTAATCAAATTCTAATCCACCTGCAATGGGAGCGAGTCAAGTGAGCGACCAACAACCCAGTTCAATGTTCATTATCATTACTGTTATCATTGCTGCGGGTGTAGGATGGTGCAATATGAAGTATTGCTCCATTTCCACGAGGGGGAGTGAGATGCACGAATGCCTGGTACCCGTGGGCCCTCATTTTTCGACACTCCCGAGCTATCTTGCTCGACAATCCTCATTTCTGTAGTTCGAGATTCGGGGGTTTCTGTGACGCCATTCAGCACATTTCAATATAACTAAGGGAGACAGTATGGCGACAGCTGATCGCCGCAATTATGGAGTTATTGATTATGAGAATTAGTGCCGTCCAACCCTTTCGGAAAAATTTTCGGGAAATAGTAAAAAATAGATCTTGGACTTTAATTCAGTCTCGAGAGTGTTAATGTCTGCGAAAATTGGAATAAGCATTTTTCCAATTGACATTTACACTTGCCATATTGACACGGTGCCACAGGAGTACGATTTGGCTAGGGGGAGATGTGGTGTTTATTTTGTGTTATTTTCTACTCAATATTAAAAATATATAAACCTATTCCCCACCCCCCTCCAGACCCTATTACCGTCCCGGCGGAATAAATTATCTGTTTTAAAAAAAAAATCGGATTTTTTAGTGAAATGGTACGGTCGTAATTAGTAACCCCGTAAAATACTTTTTTTTAATTATTTTTCCCAATCGGATTTCGAGCAATAAGAATGCAGTATTTGAGGTTACCCGACAATTTTATTTCGGATATTTCCTTTTAGCTTTTGAATATTTTGCAGTAGCTCTTCATTTTTTTTACCTGAATATTCGCAGTAGTTCTTCATTTTTTCGGCTCATTTCAGATAAAATCTTATATTTGACAGTCTATGGACATTGGGTTATTCTATTAATATAATTTGTTCAAATCTCCCCCAATTCGCTTCATGATGTTGTCCACTACAGTCTGCTTATCCAAAATCCGATTGGGAAAAATTATCCGACAAATACCCCTCGAGTTTCAAAATTAATCGGGTATTTCCCGCAAGCCCCCCTGCAAACAAACCATCGTGCCAAGTTTTGCAGGTTAAAAAATCCCGAACGCTTGCGCGAGGACATCCTCATTTGTTTGCAACGAAGCTATCAGGAAATACCCGATTATTTTGAAGCTCTTGGGGTATTACTGCAGACAATTTTCTGGAGAATTTTCTAAGGACATGTCGGGCAAAAATCTCACCATGCCAGCCTTAAACTCATTTAATCTGCTTGTTTTATATGATTGAAAATTACGCAGAAAAAATCGAATTGAAATCTGAATTTTTAGTTCCAAAATTTTTTTCTCTGAGGTCAACTCCCTCAGATATCGATTTTTTTTCGGAACACCTGCGGATCTACTGATCTCCACCACTGATGCTTGAAAAAATCTGAACAAAATTACAGAGAGTATTTTTAATAAGTATAAAAGTACTGATTTTTTCAGATTTTTTGGAAACCTTGAATAAAATATGTAGCATGATACATGAAGATTCCACCGTATGAAAAAATTTAATTCAAAACACTTCAACACTGCCAGAATTTGATTACAATATTCTATTGAGTCTTTATTGAAAGTATTAAAATTCCCCGTCTTTTTCCCCGTCTTTCAGAATCTTGTAATTTTGCAGTGTGATTTTTAATAGGTTGGATAAGGATATTTGATTTTTTTGACGTAGATACGTCTAGAGTTTCGTTTTGGGGGGTCATTCGGTAAAAAAAATGCTTATGCAGCCGCGCCATCTATCAGCGATGCTGACTGTCGCCACATTACCAACCGTCGATCGATCGGTAAGAAACCGACAGGCTGTTAGTCATAGAAATTTCTAGATTCAAAATTCGCTATAGAAGGCGGATCGGCACGCTGCGCCGTTACTCATAAATTAGCAATCAAAGGGTTAATATCGTATAAACTTTATGAAGGGTCATTTTGGGAAACGGTCCTTATGTGCAGCGCCATCTATCGGAGATCTAGAAAATTCTAGACATTTCGAGGTAATTCGAGAAGTATCTTGAAATTTCGAAAAAATTCAAGGAGTTTCTAGAAAATTCGAGGGAATTCAAGGTGTTTCTAGAAAATTTGAGAGAATTCAAGGAGTTTCCAGAAAATTCGAGGAAATGCAAGAAGTTTCTAGGAAATTCGAGAAAGAAGGAAAGACCATGGACGTATCCACGCACAATTTCAGCTGTATCGAAGTTACAGCCGTCTGCAATTTTTCTATATAATTGATTCTATTGTGATTTCTCCTACAACAATTCCTGAGTATACAAAATTCAAGTTTCTTTTCTTATATTTGGTAACGATGAATGAAAAACATGGACTGGCAAGAATTTAAAAAAATTGATCCTGACGATCCAAAAACGCCATTACAGCCACGCTATAGCGTGGTTGTTGCATGGTTGATTGTAGTTATCATTTCAAGGCTACAAAGGGTAAATGATATCTGCAAGTAACATAAAAGTTTATAGTTGAACTATTTATTCATATCCACATGATTAATTGCATTGTTTTTAATCAATGAGATGAAATTAATGTTACTGTATAGAATGATAGAAGCCCGTATCACTACAAAAAGTGGGTACTGAATTTTAGTACCTTTTCTCCCGCTTTTCCAGTACCCAAAAGATACTGAAATTCAGTACCTTTCACCCTCCTGACCTGGCTCAATAAGTACTGCGTCGCCTGTTTTCGAATTTATCTGTTTTCAATTAAATGCGAGTCAATAAAAATCTGAAAAATTACAATGCCTACTTTTCACTATATTGAATTTATTGGCAATTTTTTATTGAGTTCATACTCGCATCGATTGAGTACTAAAGAAGTTTGAAAATTCAAATGACTTTGAATCCCCGTGTTTAACCTCTAAAAATCCAATTTCAGCACGAAATCGAATCAACTTTTTTCATAAAATCGCCACATTTTTTCTAGTTCTATTACCGTTTCCTATTCATTAGAAGTTGAAACTTCCCTCTAAATCCAAAATTGATTTTCTTTTTCACACTTTTTTTTCACAAATGGTAAAATAACACGGGCGACGCCGTGCTAACCGAGCCAGTTTATTCGGCCGGCGAACGAGCGCCAGTTCGGGAGGGTTAAAAATGAAAATGATTGTACCTTTGAAAGTGAAAATGATTGAAAAATCATGGAATTAATTGTTTTCTTAATTGAATTCTCAGGCGGAAAGGGGAGTGAAAAAGGGTCTGGCATTAAAGGAGGGAATTTATATAGCGTTACACATCTTTGTGATGTCATGGGAAATGATTGGATGGGATTTGGACGAGGTAGGAGGGGAACCGGGGTTATTTTCAATATGAATAATCAGAAAATGTTTACTAAAAAAATGGATAGTCCAGACTGGGATTAGAACCCGGGACCTACCGATTATGCATCGGGTGGTCTCCCAACTGAGCTATCCGGTTGCTAATCAGAATTAGAGGGATTTCTGACCCATATCTTAACGCTTATTTCTGACCCTCATGACCCTTAGATTGTAACCCTTACAATTTGCCTCTCACATTTCAACCTTTACATTTTGGCCTTCAGATTGACCACTTATAGTTTAACCCTTATATTTTGACAATATCAACATCTTAAAATGTCAAAATGTCAGAATGTCAGAATGTCAGAATGTCAAAATGTCAAAGGTCAAATGTCAAATGTGAAATGTCAAACTTTTGACAGTTTGACATTCGACATTTGACATTCAATATATGACATTTGACATGTGACATTTGTCCTTTGACATTTTTACATTTTGATATTGTCACCATATAAGGGTCAAAATGTAAGGTTCAAACCTAAGGGTTATAATATAAACGTCAGTATCTAAGGGTCAAAAATAAGGGTCAAGGTACGGGTCAGAAATTCCTCTAATTCTGACCCATTTTCACTCCCCTTTACCGCTGAAAATCATTCAATTAAGGAAACAATTAATTAAATGATTTTCCAATCATTTTCACTTTCAGTACCTAAGAGGTACTGCAATTCAGTACCTTTTGGGTACTACAACAACGGGAGAAAAGGTACTAAAATTCAGTATGCACTTTTTGTAGTGATACGTGCTTCTATTATCATCATCCTATAAATTAACACTAATTTCATCCAATTGATTAAAAACAATGCAATTAATCGTGCGAATATGAATAAATAGTTCATCTATCAACTTTTATGTTACTTCCAGATATTATTTACCCTTTTTAGCCCTAAAAATGACAACTACAATCAACCACGCAATAATCACGCTACAGTTTGGCCGTAATGGCAAGCTATCCAGGAATTTTTATAAAATGGATCCAAGTTTATTGACTATAAAAGTCTATATTCTGTATTCAATGCTCATAAAAAAAACGGATGTTTAATATACGGAAAGTTGCGAGTGCGATTCTGCCTTCGGGAACTTTTTCAATTGAGACACCGACGAGTGGTAAATGGCTGATCGAGCAAACTAACTGCTCCATATAGGTTTCCTATGCTTCCCTGTCTCACTTTAATTACGATTCTGGAATTCTGATTAAAGTGTGCATGTAGTGTAATGTAAAACCCACAATGGCATGCATAGAAACAGCTAGAACATTCACTCGGACCCACAAAACGCTGTGAGAGCCCGAAAAATGGAAACAATCTAATGGAATGCCGACAAAAATTCGATAGAATTTCCTAGGGAAAGTTCTAAGTATTTATGCTCAATTATTTTATACGCTATCACTCCTCTCCCCCAATAGCAATATTTTCTATCACCTACCGGGACTCGAGACTTTCTCGTTGACTCTCCAGTTTTGTAACAGATGCTTCTGAGTTTTTCAGTATCTTCTGCAACTCTCTAATTCTCTGCTCCCCGTTAACGTCCATCTGCTTCAACTGTCCCTCCAAGTTCTTAACACTCCCCAGAAGATGCGATATTTTTGTCTCATTCTCTTCCAACTTTCCCTCCAGCTCCTTAATCCTCACTTGAGCCTTCTGCAATTGCCCATCCACAGCATTCTTTCTTTCTTTGAGTTCCCTCAGCTTCTCAACTTCGCTGTTTAACTTTGTTCGTAATTGATTGGCTATGTCGTCTCCAGCATTCTCCAGATGTTTGATTCTAATTCGACAAGCATCAATTTCACTCCACAAAATTGATATTTTACTCATTACACTGCTTCTGAATTCATCCTCGACTTTTTTTGCTGCCTCTAGCCGTGTCACCAAGTTCTCGTGATCCACCTCGAACTCTTTGAGCTCCAGCATCGTTTCTGAATCTCGTGGTTGATCTCTAGGGTTCATCAACCGATGAAGAACTCTGGAGTATTTTGTTAATGTGTCTTGACAGACATCGAAGAGGTTTTTAGAAGCATTATCCAACTGGAGTTGAATACTTGAAATAAATTCTTTAGTGACTGTCGAGCCCACTACGAAAGTTGTCTCCCCACCTCCTAGGGTCTGCAGAGTCTGATCGCAGAGGAGCTGGATTGCATCGATTTTACCTGGATCTTTACCTCCAACTGCAATCAACTTTTCTCGGAGTTGGACCACGTCTTCGTACATCTCGATTGCACATTTCTAAGGAGATAATTTGTTTGATCAAGGAAGTGCTCTGTTGGAATGAAGCATTTCTAATTTCCAATAAGAGATTCTTGCAATTCAAGTTGAATCTTTGAATTTCAAGATTTTTATTGAAATGTGTTACTCATCGAATTCAAGTTCGAAAATGATATTAAAAGTAATCATTATCATGATCGTAAATACTGACTTGTTTCTCGACAAGCTCCTTCTTGAATGTCACGTACTTATTTCTCTTTACATGCAGCTGATTCTCTAGTTGTCTTCTGTGCATCCCGGATGGTACACTCGAGGCTTTCTTTGGCATCGCGGAATTACAGCTCTTTGATGCAAGACGTCGGCTAGAATCTTTCTGAGCCTTTGCCAATGGGATCCCTACGAACCCATGGGTGTCTGTCTGATGGATTGGGAATGATAAAGTAGAGGATCAAGTAGAAACGACGAAAAAAAAATATCAATAGGATTGGAGCATGGTTCTTAACGGCCATTGCCTCTTTTAACCGTCCTTCATGTCATTATTTTTTTTTTCAAAGATACTCACCCCTGACATTGAGCTACGATGGACATTTGTGGGGATTCTACTTCTTCCATCAGTAGCAGATGGTGGCCGAGGCTGGACCTGGGATTTTGGAATTTTGGGGGGGTATTGATCACTTAAATGAAGATACTTATCTGAAATGGTTGAATTCAATAAAATCAATAAGGAAGTGGTGAAGCCTAACGAGTTAATTTTCTATATCTCGTTGAATATCAAATTGACTTAATAATGAGGAAGTTGGAAAAATAGTAAAAATATGCATAAGAAGTTTTTTGAAGTATGAAAAAAATATTTTGATCAGTTACACGCACGAAAAAACTGAATAGAAGGTCTATTGTTCTTTTCTTTTCATCAAGAATATGAAAAACAAAATTTAATTCAAGCCCAGAAAATACTATAGAAAATATCTCAATAGAAGAAGTTGTATTGAAAAATCGAATTTCATTGACGTTTTCAATAGAAAACTTCAATGGATTTGGTCCAAAACTAATAGAAAATTCTATAGAAATCGAATACAATTGTCCAGCGAACTCTAATATTCTTCTATTAATTTTTTTCATACGTGTACCGAGGGTCTTATTTGGAAAATTCCGATATAATACAATCAGTGTTTAAAGAAATGGTGAAACCATTTCAAATATCAGATTTTACATCTTGTCTTTCTTGAAGAAATTATTCCGAGAAAGTATCGATTTTGAAGAGAACTACTAGTAAACCGCTTTTGTAAAAATTTGCTGGTGCTACCAAAGTCTGTCAACATTTCTTGGTGAAATTAATTGTTTTTGGGGTAATTGCGTAATGGATGAAGTTGACATTTATGATTTATTACTTTTGATCAGTTCAATATAAAATTTATTTGATGAAGTTAGTTTTTACCTGCTGATCGAGTTTCGTTCAATGAAGACAACATGATGGAGTGATTTAATTGTACACTTTTACATATTTCGATGAATTTAGAAGAGTCCAATCTGGCATTTCATGCAGCGTCGAAATCAAAAGCTAATCCCGCTTCTCTACTTGACATGAAAATAGTCTTTAATGGAGAAAACAAAAGATTGGCAACAAATTTACGTAGCTAAATTCATTCATTCAGTAACATTAATCTTCAATAATAACACCCCGACATCTTCAAAATGTTCTATGTTCTATGTGTCTCAGGCCGTCCAACTTCCAGGTTTTACGGGCCGTTATCCCTTTCAATCGGGACGTTTCGTTTATTAGGAGGCACATAATATAGAAAAAAAACTTGCCATAATCCCTCTTGATTAGGATTTTTTCGTTAATAGTGGAAGTCGATTGTAATAAAGATTATTAAACTAGAAAGTCACTTTTATTTTCAGCTTGATTCAGACCGAGTGACTCAGACTAGGCCAATCCGAATTCCGGGTCTGATATAAGTCAAAAAGTGGTTTATTTCAAGTAGAAACGGGTCCAGCCAACATCGGTTTAAATCAAGCCGAAAAATCAATTTGAATCAAACCGAAAAATCGGCTTGAATCAAACCGAAAAACGGAGTGATTCACGCCGAAATTCTGCCTGTTTCAGGTGGTAGATAGCGATTTGATTCTAATCGATTTTTTGGTTTGATTCCAGTAGATTTCTCGGTCTGATTCAGGTTAATTTTTTGGTCTGATTCAAGTCAATTGTTCGGTTTGATTCAAGTCGATTTTTCGGTCTGATGCAGACCGATTTTTCCGTTTGATTCAAGCTAATTTTTCGGTTTGATTCAGACCGATTTTTCGATTTGATTCACACGGAAAGAAAAAGTGGATCAGCTTTAGAAAAAAGTTTCTAAATTTTAGAAACGGTGGTTTCTAAACTTCAGGTTTCTAAAATCTACACACTTTTTTCTAGGTTTTAGAAAAAAATCGTTTAAAATTAATGATCCAAATTGGGATTAATTTTAAACTAAAATATACTCGATTTTAGACCAAATATTTTCTAAAATCTAGAAATTTTTTTTAATTTTTGAGGGAGAATTTTGCAAAAAGGGGAGTAGTGATATCTGGGGGAGGGGGCTTGTAAAGAGGAGGGTTTTTCACAGATGTTTTTAGAAAGGGTGGGTTTTCGTTGGAGTTTTTCAAAAATATCTTCGAAACTAAGGGAGATAGTGAAATTTTAGTGAGAAAGTGTGAGGGGGATTCTCTTTTTGCTTCCGAATGAAAGCTTTGTAATCGTGAAAATTTAAGTTTCCGATTTTTTATGTCAAGGTAACTAAATACGGTCTAAAAAGTCCGAATATGCGATTTTTAGATGGTGTATGTATGTATGTATGTATGTATGTGTGTGGTCTTTTTTGTATTTTCTATTTTTTTTAATTTCTCCATAGGGGATCGATGAATTTTCATGAATTTTCTCATAACTATAGACTCCCATAAACTCTATCCATTGGAACCAATTGGAATTAAATTTTTCGTCGAAATTCGGAAATATGAGTATTTTTTCAAAAATCGATTTTTCAACGATCACTCAGAAAATTGTCATTGAAGTGAAATTATTCAGGGCTTAAAAAATTAATATGGATAGCTTGTTGATCGTATCAGAATATGATGAGAATCGCACCATTCGTTATTAAGTTGTAGCATATTGTTTATGAAATTTTTTTTTTTCATATTTTTCGTGATAAACTAAAAAAATCATCTGCAATATCAAAAATACGGCTCAAAAAGTTTATTTCGATACTTCCTTGATAAAGTGAGAAGATAATGGTGATACCATTATTATTTGTCAAGTTGCACGATAGCGTTTTACCTTTTATATCAAGAAGGTAAAACGTGAAGTTTAGCGTGTCACAAATTTTGCCCCCCTCCCCGCGCGGGAGTCGAACACGGGTCCTCCGCATGCCAACCCCGCACGCTAATCACACAGCCACTGACGTCGGTGAAAATTCAATGGATAATTATTTTAATAGATTTTTATAAATACGATGGATCTGATAATTGAGAGAAAAAAAACAGTATTCTTAAAACGAAAATTCCATTCGGAAGCTAATTGCTAATTTATTAGCAGCAACAACTATATGCATTCCAATGAAATGCAATTATCCACTTATTTTTTCCATTGGTCCAAGCTGGAAAATTTCAAAAATTTCAAAAATTTCAATGTTACGTGGGAGGTTTTCTCGCTCCCTTAATTAAGTCTTCTTTCGACTTAAAAACTATGCTCAACTATCTATACCCTGGCAAGTAACCAGCCACTTAAGTTAGGTGGCTGTTAGGTGGCTAATCGGGGCAGTCTTGTTTTGGTGTAAAAAAGGGTAAATGATACCTGAAACCATTATGGATGTTAATCTATGAATTATTAATGAATTACCTTACCTTTAGTAGCTTTAATGACATTAATTTCCATTAATGACGGAAAATAACTGTTTGCGTTGTGACATTGTCTGGTCCTTTAATAAAAAGGAAAGCGTAATGGCTGCCGAATGAGAACTCGAATTGAGAAAAGTCGAACCGATTTCTCTGGAAGTCGAACTCGAATGAGAACGAGCTTCGGGAAGTTACTGTCAGATGGCATTGCTTGGGAAATTGGCGCGAATTTCGAATCACATTTCGAATTAGAATTAGAATACAACATACAAGTACATCCTCTTATAGGTAATGTCTCTTAGACGTGTAAATCGTATATGTATCGTGGACTATGAATATGAAAAGGGAGCCCATTCAATAAAAATTCATAAATAAATGATTTGTTAAGGTTTTTCCGGTATTGTTTACTTAAAATGCTGACTGATTTCTTTTTCTTAATTCCCGTGGGTACATTGGTTCTGCATATCATACGTGGATATTTAATGGAGATGCCTATTTCATGTACACCGGATTGCTTTTTCATGTATTGTTTAAACAAAAAGAAAAAAAAATCAATTGTCATAGGGAGAATTTTGTTCCTGAATATGCCAGACATTTTAACAAAGTTAAGTCGTTATGATATTTGCCTCCATCCCGACTAATTGTTGAGTAAATAATGATAAATCAATTCGTTCGTCATTGTTTATCATTTTTTATCAATCAAACGGTTCAGTGAGGGGAAAAATAATGGAGACCAATCTTTTTTGAAATGTCTTGAATAATAAAAAAAAAAATATATGTTTTCCCATTGAAAATCGATTTTTTGTATTGAAACAAATTATCTCCAAGAATAATTTGGAATACACGGAGTAGATTCCTTAATGAATCATATTCCTTATGTATCATATAAAAAACATAAGCAATTGCATGAAATATGAAAGAAAATGTAATCAACATTTTTAGTAGGCAATATCGAAGAAACCTCAAGAACCCTAATGAATCGAACTCCGAGTTGACTCTGGGTTCATGGACAAAACCCAGAGTTGACTCTGGGTTTGATTCATCAGGGAAATCATCTGTTTATGAATTCATATTGATGAAACCGTTGCAAATACGGAAAAATGTTTCCGGACATAATTTCTTCGGAATGTTGGGTGTTTCTATAGGAAAAAAAATTCTGTGGAAAAGAGTCAATTAACCGGAGGCTCCTGCGAGCGGGAGGTCGCCAATATAGTGACCGCCTGTACCGGCCTGGGTTTTCTGTGGTGTCCCATGCTACTCCTATGTTCTATAGGAGTGCGAATGCGGTGCAATGTAGAATCCACAGCCGCATGCATAGGGTTGGATAGGGCCGATTAACCAATCAGAGGGCAGAAAGGGCCGGAATATATATAAAAAAAAGAGTCAATTTGTCAATTGTTTACATACTAAGAAGATCAGGTCAATATAGAGAGGAAGGACTTTTGGAAATTTTTCAAATTTTTCAAATTCGGTTCACTGAGTCTGAATTGATTCATTATTTTGGGCTTTTTTGGGATTTAAATACCAGCTGAGTCACGTGAACCCGAAAACTGCAAACTGGGTGAAATGAAGGAGCAGAAATTAATCTCCTCGGATATTTTTCAAGAATTCAACTGAATTTTCAAGTTCAAATAGAAATCACAAGGATTTCTGAATTACATCAGAAAATTTGAAAAAAATTCAAATGATGTATCAAAGTTTCAAGTTCAGGAAATTCTCGAATAATTGTAAAGATAGCTACAAGAAATTTTATAATAATTGTTTTGCACTCCGAACAAATTTCATTGATAATTATGATGAAAATCCCAATCAGTCATCACAGAAATTCAAAATGAGTGAAACACTCACTGAAATATTGAAATTGAACAAGTCATGAACCGAAACAAATAGTTCTCATTAATCGCAAGATTCATTAGAATGAAATGAAAGCAAAAGAAGGCATAATGAAACAGCATCAACTTTGCGACTGCACTCTGATTGGTTGAAATGAGGAAGGAGAAAACAATTTTTAGAAAATCGAGGAATTCAATCAATTCTTTCAACAAATTGACAAAATCTTCAAGTTACATGAAAAAGAAATTCATAAGATTTCAGAAGATCATGTAAGATAGAAAAAATTTCACATCATTCATCAAAGTTNAGGAGAAAACAATTTTTAGAAAATCGAGGAATTCAATCAATTCTTTCAACAAATTGATAAAATCTTCAAGTTACATGCAAAAGAAATTCATACGATTTCAGAAGATCATGTAAGATAGAAAAAATTCCACATCATTCATCAAAGTTTCTGAAATCTTTCAATGAAATTGTGAAGAACATCATAAATTAGTAGAGAAGACTTCAAATCAGCGAAAAGATATCAGGATTGGTTAGATAATTGTTCCAGAACAAATAATTGAATGTTTTTGGAGGGGCGTAAAGGGGAATGGCGATGGAGGAAAAATCTGAAAAATTCTGGGGTACCGAGCATTTCATGCCCTGGATAGAATCTCGATTCCATATTACAATTAAAATCGAAAGTCTGTCAAATTTTATTCAATGAGCATAGAAATTAAAAAACAGAATCACTCATTGAAATATTGAAATTGAACNATCATAAATT